TCCCGCCTCCCCGTGTGAAATAAACAAAATGATTGTGTTTTGTCGTTTAAAACTTTTAAAATTATTCACTTGTTTTTGGTTAGGTTTATTTCCTTTTGCCTGATTTTTTTTTTAAACTTAAATCATCGTGTTTTCCCATCATGCTTCAGGTCACATTAAATCGAAACAACAGGATCACTTCAAATCGAAGCTGTTCATACAAAAGGTTTTATTTCCACTCCCCTCTGGTGAAATGTAACCAAACGCGTCGCGGGTCGGGTTTAGTTTGGCTGAAGGGGTAAATCATAAATCAGGTTTGTGTCTGTCTTGTTTTTCACTCCATCACTTTAACATCGAAGGATCTCCTGCTGTTGAATCCCAGAGTTGAAATCCTTTTTTTTTTTTTTTTAGTTTAAGTTCAGATGATTGTACCTGAGTGATGTTTTGCGTGTTTTGAACTGAAAGAACGATGTTATTTATTCATGTCAGAGATCTGTTTTAACTTAAAGAGAAAAGTCCGGGCTCATGCAAAGTCGAAAGTCTTATGTTTCTATGTCCCATTATTGCCTATTTTTCTGTTCGACATGCACAGATTACATTACTACTGAGAGATAAAGCTAAAGGTAAGAACTCGTCTTCTTTAAATCACCTGAAGATTTTCACTTTCACCGTTTTTCTGTGAAAGACTTAAATGTGAAGATCCGCATCATGAAGCTTTATGTGAATATTGTCAGAACCTGAAAATTCAATGTTTGATTTATTTTTAAATGTCTGTTTGTGCATTTCCTGAGTCTTTCAGTATTAATTCTTTGTGCACTTCATTGTAAAACCACTTTGATTTCTTCTTTTAATGTGTAGAACATAAAAATGTTTACTGAGCTCTATTTTATAACTACTAAAAAATGCCTTTTGTGAAATAATAAAGTTGGAATCTATCCTTTATAAAAGTTGCTTTTATTGGAGACAGTAAATTATAATAATTCTTGCAAATACAAAAAAAGTGAAACGGAGATGTTTGTGAAGAACTATCTATTTCTGCCCCCATCAAACCACCAGAGGGCGCACAAGAGCCACCTGTTGTCTTATCGTTTGAGAAACAGAAGAAAAGATTTTAACATCGTCTTAACTCACGTATTTGTTGAAGCTTCAGGTTATTTAATATTTTTTGACATTTTTTTTTCACAATGAAAATATGACCATAAATATTAAATGTAGTTCTCAATAACAAACTTAATGTAATATTGTGCTTTACAGCTAAATTTAGGTGAGATTCCTAAATTTAGATGGTTGAGCTGCTACAGCAAACAGCTTGTTTTTATTAACATTTTCACAAAACACAAATGAATGAATTAATACAATAAAATGCCTAATTGAGATCAAACACTACTGATGAATTTTGACCCAATATTCTTTACAGAAGCTGTTTATGCTCATACTGCAGTGTCTGAGATAGATTTAAGTCCAGACTTTGCTCCAAAATGTCATTTTGCATTTTTTTTATTGAGTCTAATTTGGATTATTTCCCTCTTGCATCAGCAAAGTTTAATGTGTTTAAGGTTTTGCTGGTGATTCTCTTGCAGGGTTTTCTGGTGAAGATCAAAATGTTTGATGCGTTTCTTGGGTGGAGCCTTTGACTCGTCTTATTGATGAGTCGAGTCGTGCTTTCCACATAAACAAAGAACTGCATTTCCTCACACTATATGCTCTTAGAAAACCATTAGGCTGCTGCTTATGCATGCACCCCAAAATTTATAGCTTACATTCTGATTGTGTGTGTGTGTTTGAGATAAAAAGCAATTACCATAGCTCACGTAGAGCCTAATGGAAATACACCACACCAAATCAATGCAGATTAAACCTGCATGTGACATCGGTTTGTGAATCCACCTTAAGGTAGAGATCACGATGCAGGAGGCCTGAATTTCCTCCGTTTATTTATATTTCATTTAGCTGCTGTTTGATCAAACAACAACTACTACTTCTTTTTGGATTTTCCAGAACCAAAGAGGAAAAAAAATCCTGCAATTTCCCTTTAAACTTTTTGCACAGCATGACTACATGGTTAAAATTAAAGCTGACTTCAGCTTTAATTTGACACGCCACACTAACAACCAGCACAACATTTGATATTTTAAGACAATTTCAAAACTATTACTCTTTACTGACCCAAATGAGGCCGTCTCATGAAGACAGTGGTCCACTAAATCATCCAGCTGAGGGTTTCGTCTGCGTTTTAAAGAGAAATGATGAACCCTGGGGGGCCCTTACGCTAAGGCACTATTTATAGCACCATCTGTAGCTGGCCTGTTCAAGCACATGTTTTATAGATCTCAATAACCCCCGTCGGGGCCCACAGGGTCGGCTGATTTACGTTTTCATAATGCAACATGAATGTAATCACTTTACAGCATCGGCTGGGTTTTCGCTCGCCAGGGAACCGAGCGGTCGCTCTGAAATGGAGACGTGTTCATTCAATCCGACTGAGATTATTTAGATTCAGCACTACAGATTTGTGTAGTAGTGAGGTGTGACATTACACGGGACAAAAATGTTTAATCTGCGTAAGAAAAAAAATGAAGATTTTTCTCCAGTTTGACGATGAAATTCTCTACAAAACATATTGGTTTTGTTTTGTGTTCATCCTGTGGTGAAGTGGTTTGTACCTTCTACCTTCATCCTGACCGATCCAACCTGGAAGTTTCTGTCGAGTTCAGGAGGAAACAGGAAGCTGAACCAAAACACAACACTTAGCTCCGTGCTGCATCATCAAGCCTTATTGGAGGACATTTTGACTCTGACATCAGACGGCAACTCGCTTTGGGAAACGACAGGTAGCGGTGCTGTCTCAGGCGACGGAGTTACCATGGCGATGCATTGAGGAGAGGAGCCTGCAGTGGTGACAACGTTGATCTGAATAGATGAATTTTATTAAGAGAAATTCCCCCCAGCCGACTGCCTGGGAACCAGGAGACGGAGGGATTTCTGTAGGTTTTATAACCGAACCAGATGCCACATCTGGTCTGGTCTGAACAGTAAAGATCTGAACTGGTTGGAGTCATTTGTGCATTTTCTACAATGTCCTGCAACAGGAAGTAGAAAGGAGCGATTTAAATTCCCCAAAGAACCACTGTTATACTTTTATATATTTAAATAAAAGCAGCTTATGGTCAAAGCAAGGGGGTTCTGTTATTTCCACTTTTTCATCCATCCATCTGTTGTTGAAGTTTTTCTGGCACCAGTGGCTTTTATTCAACAACAGATGAGCTGGAAGAAGAGCAGATGCGGCGTCTCCATCCTCTCCATCGAGCTCTTTTAGGTTGCAGTATAAAATTATATCATTAAATCAAACAATCAACACAAAGCTGTTCATTAGAACAATAGCTTGCTTTTGTTAGACACACTGCTTGAATCACATTAACCCTTTCATGCATAATTTATGATCATTTGTGTCAGGATTTTTTTTCCTTTTTTTATTTTTTTAAGGCATAAAAAAAGTAGGGGGAAACAATTTTGTAAAATAATTTCTTGCACTTGCAGCTGATGGCCAGTAGTTGATGGTGTATTTTATGATGCATTAGTGTCCACTTCAGTGGTCTGTGTGCATTTATAACATAAAAATCCACAAGANGCACAAGAAAATGGCTTTTAGGCAGCTGTCCACTGTAGTGACCACTATGCATGAAAGGGTTAAAATCCTAATGACTAAACTAATCTGATGTTCACACAGGTGTTTTCTGATGAGAAAGAAAAGCCCCCGTCTTATATTTACTTGCACTGATCATAATTTAAAGCTCTTTTGCTCCAATAAATAATTAAAAACTTTCAGCCACTTATCAGTTCACAGAGCTGCAACGTTTTCATAAACTTCTCCTTCAAGCCCGTGTGGAAAAGTTTCCTCATCTTTTTGATCATACATCTAGTGCAGCATCATGACTGCACCGCATCTCTTCCCTCACCTCGCACACATCCGGGGCTTCAGGGCTATAAAATACTGAACTTCTAACACATCTTTGCTCATCAAAACTGAGGCGGAGCTTCACCTTTAACCCCACAAACACACAGCCACAACTGTGAGGGATTAGCTTACACGAAAGCATAATTATATTATAATAATAATGACCCAGTCACGTGATCTTCACATCCAGTCTCACTGAATTTGCACAAAGAAGAAATCTCAGCCAAGAGTTGCACCTGCAACTATACATCCCACTTCTACATCATTTCGTTTTTTGCAGTCACATAAAATCCCTCCAAAAATAACGTCAAAAGTTTCCGGTTTTATAGAATGACGATATAGGAGGGGAAAAAAAAAGTTTTAAGGCAAACGCATGAGCTCGGCATCTGATTGCTGTTTGCCAGAGCTTAAGTGAGATGGTGAATTTACCTCCATTGGCATCCTACATGACAGCTGGATAACCTCTGAATGATGAATTAATGAGGCGTGTGTGTGCAGACGTGTGTGAAGAGGAGTGTGTCTGGGTGCCAACGAGGGGGAGAGCGACCCCCATTTTGTATTCAGCAGCACAGCAGCATCTTTCAACGCTCCGACGGGGAGGAAGGAGAACGGAATAAAAAGTCAGAGAAAGAAATTTCATGTTCAAAGTGTAAGGGGGGGGAGAAATAAAAATCAATGTGAGACAGACGTAGATGTTGTCAGGGTGTGGTCACAGAGGACATGAGGGAGATGGAGAAGAGGAAATATAGAGATGCAGAGATTAGAGTGATGGATGTAAGGAGGAGAGATTGGTGGATGGCATAAGAGAAGCAGTGGAATAAAAACAGATGTGCACAAAGGCATGACTTGGAGTGAAGTGGAGAAAGAAGGGAAGCAATGCAAGGAGTGGAGAGAGAGAGAGCAGAGGAGGAGGGGGGTAAAGGATGAGCTCATTGCAGTCGCTGGGCTGAGGGGAGCGGAGAGAGGGATGCAGGAGGGGAGGGGTCGCTGCTTGTCTGCGAATCGATAGCCAGCGTCTGAGTGCAGCACACACACACACACACACACACACACAGCTGCAGACGGATCTGCCGGCAGAACCCGCATCTGCCCTCCTGTCTTTGCTCCCAAGAAAAAAATGTTCAAACTAAACGTAAAATGACACCTGATTGCGAATCCTGGAGAACGAAGGATTCAGATCTCTTATTCCTCCACCTACTGAACTTCAGAGGAAGCAGCAGAGAGCCAGCTGATTCTCATGTCTGCTACATCCTCCCTCCCTCCCTCCCTCCCTCCTTTCTCACTCTCTCCAACTCACACATCCACACCCACACCCAAGGATACCCTCACTGCTCCACCGCCGCCGTTTCCCACACTCAGTTTTTTTTTCTTCACTTTCTACCTCCACCCTCTCCAACTACTAACACACCCACACACACACATATATAATTTTTGTTTTTTATTGCTGCCTCAGTGGAGGAAACGCTGCTCTGACCCTGTTGCTGAGACTTCTTCGGATTCCTCCGTCCATTTCTCTCCTACTTTGCTGCTACCTGTGGAGGTTTTCTGTCGGTTCTCCGGTTCGGCTATCTCATCAGAGCGCAGAGAGAGAGGGAGCCATGCTGGGTCTGGACGTGTGTGAGTTCGGGGGTCAGGTGCTGGAGCTGCTCTGGTTGACCATGTGCTACAGAGGTGAGGCGATAAGTTACTCAAATTCAAGTATTTTTTTCTTTTTCTTTTATGCTTCCATAAGCTCATCTTAAGGGTGTGGACAGCTAAATGTTTGCCAAAATTTAATTCATTTTTTCCTCCTCTCATTTTACTCTATTTGAAATCTTTGCATATTATAATGAAAACGTGTGTGTAAGCATGCTGATGCAGCATGTGCAGCAGTCAAATGATGTCACCAACATCTGCTCTCACATCTAGCGGTTATCCCTCCTTCTGTGTCTGCAACACACTCAACACAAGGCAGCTGTGTGTGTGTGCGCGTGTGTGTGTGTGTGTGTGTGTGTGTGTGTGTGTGTGTGTGTGTGTGTGTGTGTGTGATATACTGCAGCAGTTCCTGAGATTAGCAGACGGAGAAATAATGCTGGGGTTCCCCCTTACATGTAGCGTGACACACTGTGACATTTGCTCCTTTAAAAACATGAGTGAGAGAGAGAGAGAGATAAAAAAGTGGGCAGGGCGATCCAAAACCCAGCTGAGGTCATCTGAAGAAGAGAGATTGTTGAATCAGATTAGTCTAAGTGGGAATGAATTGGAAGATGAATGTCGTGAATGATGAAGTTGCAACTTGTACTGAGGTAGATTTTAAAATTCCCTTTGATTGTAAATCCAATTTCAGCTCTCTTCTTCTCCCCCCTGCACCTGCCTTTTGTGCGATCACAGCGGGGGGTGTGAGGGTTCTCTGGTTCGCTTGGTGGTGGAAGGAGAGGGCGATGTCATGGCACCATCTGGTTTTCTCGGAGTGCGCTTTGAACAGGATGCAGCTTGAGGATGCCTAATTAAAGCCTGCATGCACTCACCATGAAATAACCTTAATCAATCATAGCATTAAACATTTGGTGCACAAATCTCTATTAATTGGAAATTGTTCCCCAACTACCACCAACTCAAAACTACATAAACGAGCTCAAATAAATGCATTGAACCCCGTTGATGTTTGGATAAATGCGCTTTAGCTAGCTGAAGCTACATCGCATGCTTTTTGCTGCCAGTTCTGACAACTCTTCTCCAACAAGGTTTCCAGAATCTCAATATTTGCCTACTTAGTTCTTTCCAAAAACCGGGTTTGGTACATGATTGGTATCAACATTATGTCGGAACACCTAATCTGACCCAAGCTGTCTCCTTGTGTCAGATTTGGGAATTGGCATTCATGAACGATGCAGCTGTTACTGAACCCGATCATAAATTGTAAGGTGCTTGAGTACCAAGCATGGTGGTGGCAGCATAATGCTGGGGGCTGTTTCAATGCCAGTGGTATGATTTCCACACAAAAAATAATAATTAGCTCAATTTAAATGAATGTTCCTTACCTTATCTTCCTTTGTCAAATAAAAACCATCTAAAGACGTTGTGTTATAAGGTAAAGTTGACATTTTTCTACTCCTATTACTGTTGAAAATCACAACTTAGAGATACCATTGCTGCGAAACTTCATCTACAAACTCTGCAGCAATGAGCCAACTGTGTTTTTACTTAATCTCATATTACACTATGCACACCCTCTGTATCTGCCCCTGGTGAGGACTCACTCACATCGGCATGCCAAATGCTTGAAGAGGCTACAATGGGTCTCTGTTGACAATTCAAATTGTCACGACAGAAGAAACCAACACTAGAAATTCGTCCTCATGCATATAGACAATAAGAAACTGGGGCGCATCATAAGCGACTTACGTTTCATAAATCTCACTTCAGATTTTTTTCCACACGTAAAATAGGATTTTAGAAATCCAACCATTCGTTCTAAGAACAGGAACAGATTGGCAACAGCTTTAATCAGTTTATGTCTGGTGCAAATTAATTCAACTGACATACTTACAGTTGGGTGTACAAACATTGCCCATGGCAAGTCAATGGAGGACTAGTGGAGATCTATTCATCCATTGATTACCAATGACGTGAAAAAAAATCTAATGCTTCATTGTTGTTTCAAATCCTTTTTCTCGCAAAAGATAAAACATATATCTCCGCAATCTTTGCAGTGTTTAAATAGTTTTTTTTTTGTAGATCTGAATCATCCGATAACATCACAGACACTTGGCAAGAGAAAAAAAATTGGGGGGAAAAAAAGAAGAGGGAGCAGTGGATTTTGATTTGAACGTAGGAGGTGATATGAGCTGAAGATAAATGACACGACTAGGACGCGAAATGATGAAGAGAATGAGGGGGCAGAGCTTTAAGAAAGGTTTGGTAAAAACAGCAACAAAAAGAATAATTGGTTATGAAAAAAGAGAAAGGAAAAAGTGGGCAAGAGGGAAACGTCGGACATTTGGCAGAGACAGAGGACTGAGTGTGTGTTGCCGGATGCTGTCAGCTGTCAAACACAAACCCCCACATCCAGCAGCAGCAGCAGCAGCAGCAGCAGTACGCCCTGAAAACAGACCGAGTGACATCTTCTCCTGCCCAGTTTCCCATTGTTCTCATCCTCCCTCTATTTTATTTGTTGCCTCTTTCCTCACTCATCTTCACCCTCCGATCCGCTTCCTGTCTCCTCTCCGTTCCGTCAACCTGGTCGAGACAAATGAGGCCGAGTGGGTGAGCGGACACACACACGGGAGACCAATCAAGTCAGTCAATTAGACAACCTGCTGTCTCATCAAGGCCGACGGAGCAGCTGAGGACATGCTGCTGCTTGTGTCTGTGGGAAGCAGTCGTTTCCTCCTTCAGCTCAACGATGCAGCCGATTGAACGCAAGGGCTCAGTTGCACCAACATGAACACGGGTAATTGCAGAAGACTGGCATCGTCTTCAAGTCAAAGCAGGCTGAGTGAATAGCAACATTAAATTCAGGGTTGTTGGGTTTTTTGCCGTTTTTTTTTTTTTTTTTTTTTTTTAGCAGGTATTACGTTCTAGTTTTGAGAAACATGGTGTTGTAGCTCAGGTAAAAGCTAGTCAGAACTGGGCTAATCAATTATTTAACCGTTCTGCAAACCACACACAATGTTTACACCAGCTCACTTTTGTATCCGACGGTCGTTTCCTTAAATGATTTATTCATTTTTTTTTATATTAAAAACCACTATCCGTCTTGCTATGAATTATTGAACATGCAGTGGCTCATCAAACTTGGCCTTCTGCTCACCTGCTCCAGTCAGGAGATGTAGCAGCTGTGGATCGAGGATCTAGAAAATCAAATAAAATCTAACAAATATTTGTTCATCCAGAGTTGCTCAAATGCATTCTGTACACACACACACACACACACAGCCTTGTTGGATACTGAACTCTGACTTTCTTGGAGGTTTCCGACTTCCCCAGACAGAAAACCTGACTCCAGTGAGCGTTCTTGTTCCTCTAACTGGGAAAAATCCAAAGAGAAAACAGCATTACCATGCAATGAGATGGGAAGAAGTGCACTTCCAGGCACTTCCCACTACAGTTTTAATAAACTAATTAGAAGCATTTTCTGACCTTTCATTATCTGACAAGATTCTCTGCAAACTTTGGAAAGTCCAAAGTCACAGGAAAACCTTGAAATACAAATGTATGGGTGCACAGCTGGTTGGGTTCTGATTTATTTAAAGTTGTTGTATCTATTTTGACATGTTGGTACACCTTACTTACAAAAATAAAATTTTTGATAGGTGTTGATGTTTTTATTATTGTTGTTATTATTTCTCTCTATAAACAGTTAAAAAAAGGTGTCCATATATATTTACATTTTAATCTGACAAACCATTGAACGCCGCCGCGTGTCCTTTTTGTGTACGAACAGTTTGGATCACTGCAGGAACCAGTAAGCTTTCTGAATTCCTCTCCCACCAACATATTGTAAATATTTCAAACACTGAATATGTTCTTTTGCAAAGCATATGTCGTCTTTACTATTTCATCTGTATTGAATCGGCTGCGGGACAAAAAGCAAACGCTGGCTTCTCACCATTAGCATTTGTTTTCAGCATGCTATAAAACAAGGTGTAAAAACGAGGCTATAAAAGCATTTTTGCTTTACCGCTTTTCTTGGGGTGTAAAATTTCACCACATAGTTTTATATTAGAATAATTTCATTGCTCAGGTTGTAAAGTTTTTAGCTTAAGTTTAATTTCTCACATTTGAAATGTTTTTTTGTTTTTTTTTACATTGTAATTGACTCATGGTGAATTTTGGTGATTGCAGTTGAGAAAAAAAAAGAAACGTCTTATTGTAATGTATCATTTTTGATACGATTTTGATGTTCCTGAAGCCTCTATATCTACAAAAATGCAAAATGCTAAATAAGTGAATCTGCATAAAGAAATCTATCTGCTTTGGAAGCTTGAGTTCATGACTGCAGAAGTATTACATATTCCTTAAGATGCAAAATAACTTTCAAGAACCAAACATTTTTGCTTGTTTGTTTTGGTTTTGCATCCAAATAAACTGCTCAATTAAAAAAACACACGAAACATAATTTATTTCTTACATTATCCTTTGAAGGGTTACAATTTATTCCAAAACAGCATTCAAGCTAAGTGTGTCGTTAACCCTCCACTGTGTATAAATATAGTGAAAATCTCATCTCTTTCTGTTCAGCAGTGTGGTGGTGGGCTTTAGCGTTGACAGATTGAATATTTCCTCAGATGTGCTGCAGGTTACACATCAATTATAAAGTCGTTCTGGCCGCAAAACGTTTGTATTCTCCTGCGATGCCGAATGCTGCGTCCATCAGTCTCCCTTTACTGCCGTTTCTTTCATTGTAAACTTTGATAATGGCTTTGCAGAGGCCTTAAAAGCCTCCTCTTTATCTTCCGCCGCGTGTCCTTTTTGTGTACGAGCGCGCGCGTTTCCTTTCCTCAGAGGTCTCGTTAAAGTATTAGAGCAGAGCGGTGACAGCGAGACTCCAAGGACTATAAAAGAAAAAAATAAAACAGTACATCAGTGCTCAAGGCACAAACACACATGCACACTCCCGCAGAGTCCCAACATGAAGGTGGGGGGGAAAAAAGGCGCTTTTCTGAATCGGTAAACCTTATCTGGGTTAAGGTATGGAGGCGGCTGACAGAAAGCAATCACGAAAACAAAAAGATGAAGAGGAGGCGTTTAAACTTTGTGAGCTGACAGAAGGATTTAACCTTTTGTTTATTAGGATGCCCCACGGATGCCAGAGTAATTTTAAATGAGGACTATCTCCGCTTTCTTTGCAGCCTTCTTGATAAACGCTGAGATCCATTTAGCCTCTCCTCGGTTCAGGACGGAAACTGTAAAAGGAGTTTATCCTAAAGGTTTGTCCGAAAGCAACGCAGCTGTTCCAGCTGCAACAAGCTGAAGCTTGTTCCTGTAATCCCGTCCTGATAAAAACAGAAAGAAATGGGACTCATCTTGGCTTTGAGCTGTTGCCAGGCAACGAAATAAGAAAAAAGAGAGAGAGAGAGAAAGCAAGCAGAAAGTGATCCAAAAAAAAGAGAGGCAATAATCAAAAATGTGAAATGCAAACACATGCAGTGCATGACCCTTATTGAATGTTGCACTTTTACTGTAATGTAGGACTGAAGGAAGGGACGGATAATAAAGCGAGATAAGCTGGTATTTTTAGTTTTCTTTTTATTTTTGCCTGTTTTCCCTACAAATGCAACAGAGTCAGAAGTGGCAGAAATATCTATAGTGGGATTTGAGCAAATCCATCTATGACACTGTTTCACATCACGAAGTGGAAGCCACTTTTTGTGATGACGGAAGAAAAAAAAGATCTGTGGTGACGTTTCTAACAAATACCTGAAGCAATGTGGAGAATAATATTATCAGCTAATCGGAGGCCATTTTTATTTGCAACTTAACTGAAGTTTAAGTCGCTTAATCAACATTTTTTTAATGTTTTAATGATTTTTGAAGACAAATGCTTTTTGATTTAACTGCTAACTTTGATAAAGTAAATATCCTAAAATCCAAGATAAAAATAATAAGGTGTCCATGTCACTAAAACCTTGGTGACAGCAACGGTGTAGACAGTTTGCACCTTCTGCTTGTGGTTTGCGTCTTGTTGATCCCGTCACACACAGAGAATCACTGTGGACAACATCAATTATTCCTGTTGTGTTAGAGTGTATAGTCATGTAGCTGACAGCTTTAATCAACTTAGTAGTTAGCTAGCCTGGTCACGGACAACAACAATGAACAAAATAAAAAAAATAAAAAAATTTCCTCAGTTGCATTTAGAATATGGTTAACAAATCCAAGTTTTGAGTTTAGGCAAATGAAAGCAGCCATGCGTCATCACAAACATTTCATCACAGGTTTATATTTTCTGCCAATTTCTACTTGGAGGATTTCTGAAAACAGTTTTTGATTTTGAAAGCAGAGATAATGCTGTTGAACTGGCTGTTTGGACCTATTAGCTACACATTTAAGCTTTTTGATCAGATGATGTTTGGCTGTGTGGAGTCCCTCAGGGCTCTTTACTCAGTCCTCTGCTGTTTTCTCAGTGTCTCCAGCCTCTTGGTTTGATCATTTTTTTAGGGAAACTCTTAAGTTTCGTACCCAATATGGCTGCCAAGCTTTTGAAGGTTGATCATATTACCTACTCAGCTCTTCTCTCATTTAAAACAGTAGCACACATAGAGATATTTCTTGGAATGGCATAAAATGACTGTTAGAAAAGTGGTGAAATTCTAGCTTTTTTTTTTCAGCTGAAATAACTGGCCAATTTAAAAACGTTTCCAAATACCACTTTAAAAAATAAACCATGCCTTCATTACACATCGGTTGAGTTACCGTAGCTTCATGTGTTGGTGTTCAGTCAAATAATTGGTCGCTTATCTCGCCTTATTACCAATAATTACCTGCCACTCTAGGAAGGACAGAGTCGGCTTGGATAATTCATTCCCAACCCGAATGTGAACGGTTTTATCTTTGACTTCTAATCGGAAATCGCTTGAGAGATTCTGTGTTTGTGTGAAAATTTCTGTCCTCAACTGAGCGGTGCTTCCTCCTCTCTGCGACGTCCCCTGAAGCAGAACAGATTGCCGTGTTGATTTTTCCCTAAATGTATTGGTTTAGCTGTAAATATCAGCACATGGATAATTGTTGTAAAATCTAGCATAGAAGTGGTGCTAAAATCGCAGCTTGGCTCCACCTTTTGTATAATAATGTGTGGGAGATAACATTCGCTTATGTAAAACTGGGAAGACGGATAAACATAATCACTACTTTATTCTTTTATCTTTGATTGCAGCTAGAGGAAATAATAACGTGGAAATAACCACAGCACTCATTTTAGGAGTATCGATGTCTTGGTTTGTAAATATGATATAATTTCCCATGTGCTTTGAGACATTATTGTGTCCATTATCATAGAAACTGCTGACTTGATTATTTTTACAAGTCTGCTGAGTGATGCAGTAGAAGAACTGGGAAGTTAAAGAAGTACTCAGATAAGTTTAGGCAAGTTATTATCAGATTATTACGTTATTGAGTTTTTATCAAATCCCAGATTGGAGTTGAAATTGTTTCATTGCTCTGAGTCCAGGTGAAAAACTTCCTCTGCATTTTGCAAAATTTGGCAAAACGTTCATCCTTTACGGTTGTTTTTTTTTTTTTTTTAAAGAATCAGTATCAAAGCACTCAAAAGGACGAGAGACTCTGCCTTTCAAGATGAGCAGTAATAGATTTTGCTCATTTTCAGGTCAGAAGGCTTGAGTTCAAAGAAGGAAAAAAACACACACACACACACTCTTAGTGGTTTGAAGCATGCGGTGTGTGTAAATGTGTGTGTTTGCGAAGCGGGGGAGAACTGCAGAGTTTGATATGTAAATACAGACTCAGTGAATCATTTATGAAGTCATGTGCTTCCCATATCCAATTTGGAAGGTGGGTTTTTGTGTCTCTGTGTGTCTGTGATACCTGTAGTCTACATCTCTGATTTTTTTTGTTTTGTTTTTTGTTTTTCTAAATGAACAATAAGTGGATTTGTGGTGCTAATCTGTCAATTATGATGTCATTTGATGTTTCCCAGAACGCGAGGCCTTGAATTTAGCTCAATTGTACTTTCTTGTTTTGTAGAGTTGTACTTAATGTTGTGTTTTTGAACGTGCGGTTGTGTTTAGTGGTTTGCCCTTCAGGGCCACCGTAGCTAGAGAAACAATGGTCATCATTGTTTGTCACTGTTCTAGTCTATGTCTGTGAATGCAGGTATTTGTGTCTGGACGGTTTATGTGCTGTAAAGCCCAGAAGAGTTCACGGTACATTTATTTTTTATTTTTTATTTTTTTTTGTCCTTCCCCCAACTCATCAAATTACGTCTCTACACAACTGTGGGGTGATTCACACAGTGTCACCTCATTATGAGCAGCAAAACAGAACCGGAGGATGTTAACAGGGCTGTTAGAGTGCAGTGAAACATCACAGAGAGCGTTTCCTGTTCTCCAGATAATTAAGCTTCTGCACATGCAGCTGGAATCTCTAATGAACCGCGATGTACGCACTTTGAGCTGACATCACACCGTCTTGGTCAAAAACAATTTATGTCGACCTAATTGACGTTTCTGCAGGAACAACAGAATTTCCCGGGCACGTTGTAGTGGCTCTGCTGTTAGATTTCATTTCTCAAACCTGCTCAGGCCCTGAAAGAAGGTGGAGCTGAACGTTGAGTTACAATTGTAGCTTGCAGAGCTACAAGAGCTACACAGATGTCTGTGGTTATCGGCACTGGATCAGTTGTTGTTGTTTTTTGTTGTTGTTGTTGTTTTTATTTATTTATTTTTTTGCTGACCATGCTTCCAAGAAGCCAGATTTTGACATGAGGCTTAAATTGGTTCTCGATTAAAAGGTTCTCTACACTTTCTGTCAATGTCTTAAAGGTTTTCCGTGGCTGCTTTTCACTTTAAAAAACAAGAATAAACTCAAACCAAAGTATAAAATGAAAGTATAAAAATGAAGCAAAGCAAGCGTTCAGCCAAGATCACTTAACACACCGCGTAAAGCCGGTCTGCTAGGGTAATGTCAAAATTGACTTTGGCCACTCACTTGCTGTAAAGATCGTGTTTTGAATTACAATATTTATTGAATAAAAAGCACTTTAAAACATTTATTTTCAATCAATAGCGTATTGAAATAACCACAGATCACAGTTTTTGTCAAATGCTATGTCAACAAATTGGTTCTTACTATTTTCGTTACAATCTTTAAACTATGTTGGTTTTCCTCAACCATGTGGTGGATTTGGCAACATCTTTGAGAATTCAGTTTCTCCTGGAAGCGATAAACCAGAAAGGAGCCAATAGTTTGCTTCATTTGGGCTTGTTCAGGCTCTGTAGCCGAGACAAAAATATTTACTTACTTCTAGAGTTTCTGTTCTACTCTATGTATAAAAAATTAAAATAAAATATGGAAGCACACGCGGATTCATTGATAATAATAAGCCAACTGTTAAAATATACAATGTAATTGATCCTCCTGCCATCTTCAAAGGTCTACTGGCTGACAAGAGTAATTTGGCCATCGAGGAGGAAGATGAGGACAGGAACCTGAACTACAATCCCCCGGCTCAGAAGTCGCTGCAGGAGATCCAGGAAATGGACAAAGACGATGAAAGTCTGGTGAAGTACAAGCAGACCCTGCTGGGCCCAGAGGCAGTGAGTCCAGGTTAGCGAGCCTCTTTGCGTAAACCTGTTGTTTACTCTGGTGTCCGGCTTTACTGCAGACTTCATAAAAAATATTCCCTCACTACAGGGTAATTGCTCTGGGCATAACTCACACGCACACACACACACAATGCAACACCAGACCTGCTCGCCTCAGCATCTCTAACCCGGGAACCAGCAGGCTGCGATAGCGGATCCTTAATGGCTGCAACACAAAACGACCTCCTGCACGCAGCTCTGCATTCAGCCAGCGTTACTGGGAATCAGAGAATGGAAAGACAAAGACGAGCAGAGAAGTCAAGCTGTACATCTTCTCCCCAGAAAATGGGCGTACATTTGAACTTTTGGACCACCACTCAATTAAACATAGACACATTGTGGTATCCATAGAAACGTCAGATTCTTGGATAAAAGCTGATAAAAAGCATTTTAGCATTTTGAGTTTGAGCCATAAGGAACCTTCATCTAAGGCTGCCTTCACACTGCAACCTGAAGTGACTCAATTCCGATTTTTTTGTCCAATCGGATTTTGTTTTTTGTGAATAAATTTGTTTTAATTTTTCTATATTTTTTACACTGGATTCCCAATACTTTCACTTCAATTGGGGTCAAATATAACAATTTTTTATTGTTTTACTATAATTAGATGAAAAACAAACAATTTTAGACATGTAAAAATAAGTTTAGTAAGTTGCCAACCTCTGCCAAAGGCAAAATGGTTTTTACTATAACCTCTTTAGTTTACCTCAGCTGCATCAATCTTTGCACAGAGAATGTGGATCTATGGTTTATAAAAGTTGTAGATTTCCTTATGATATTTCTAACAGGTTTATTATACTCTAAATATAGGGACAAAAAATTCTAAATTATTTCATGTTCCATATTCATGTTCTCTGAAACTCCAACTGCTGTGATAGATATGCTTCTGGTGGAAGTGTTAGCTTTATTTTGATACCAAGATTAATGAAAATGAATTAGATTTGGGTTATTTTAACATGTCCATTTCAGAAACAACCACTGGCATCACTGCAAATCAGAGAATGGAAAAACAAAGAGAGGAGATGTCGAGCTGTAAATCTAGGCTTTTTCAGTCTTTGTACAAACACTGGACATGTTGTAAACAAACTGATTTAAATAGTGATTGCTGAACATTAAAGCAAAAATGTCTTTTAAGCTATTGTTGGTTTATTTAAAATGAAAGCTTCATTTTCTACTGTTTTCTCCTTCAAACCTTGTTTCCTTGTTCCTGCCAGACCCGACTGAGCCCAATGTCAGAGTGACCAGACTCATCTTGTTGTGTGACGATGCTCCTGAACCAATCACCATGGATCTCACAGGTACCCCGGTCCTCCTCATCTTCAGCTCTTTGGGTTGGAATGTTGTTGTTGTTTTTTTTGGCTCAATGATCTAAGCTTGTTGACAAGCCACACTGGCAAATGACGAGGCAGAATCCCTTACAGCTGAACTCTTTCATGCATTTTATTGAGATTTTATGAGGTAAAAAAAACACCTCCAAGTAGTTTGCAAAACATTCTTGAGTGTTTGTATTCTGCCTCCCAATTAAAGCTGCAAAAAAGTTTTTTTTTCCTTTAATGTATGGCCATTATATAGGTTGGCTATTATGTTAATTATGTTTTGCTTTCAGAAGAGCCACCCCCACAGCATGATGCTACCACCACAATGCTTCCACACATTGATAGCGGGTTTAGTTTTATTTATTATTGTGTTAGTTTTATGCCACGCATCAAGTTTTGTTCGTAAACCAAAATGTTTGGCTTTGGTCTCGTCTGACTAATGCGCCTTCTCCGACATGTTTGGGAGAAGGGAAAAGAAAGCAAAGGTACACCACACTTTTCATATTTATCCCTCTAAATAATTTTTTGCTTGAGTTTAATGATTATTCAGCTGCAGCATAACATCCTCCCCAGATCAGACTGACGTTGGGTTTGTGAGAATGAGCAGAGTTCAATGTTTGCGCGGCGGACGGCAGCGGTGACATCTCCCTCCTCCTGGACGACGCCTTGCAGGGATTCAGAGGAATGCTTGACTTTCTGTCTTCATCAGAGTTAAGGAATCCTCTAATTAGCATTGGAGCACAGTTGGTGTCTGTACCGAAGTTAGTAAAAGGTGTTCGCGTTCATTTCTCCCAGAATTCAAACTGGTGAAATTAACCTTTAATTCCTCTAAGAGATTCGCCTCTTCACAATCGCCGTCGCACGTATGCACACATTCACACGTTCGCTCACAAACGACACAGACTGCAGATGGGAAAGGTCAGCTGGTTGCTAGGCAATATGAAACACTGTGATGTTTTTTTTTTTCTTTCAAAAGTCCAAACGCAGAGCGATAGACTACACCATGTTTCAGTGTGTGATGGGAAATCTGTACCGTATGGAGGGAACACTCTGTTCAGGCCAGACTTTTCCGCAGCCCTAAGACCTGGACTACGTCAGGCGGAGGGAGTGACAGGTGGCGAGCGATCATCAGCAGACAGGTTTTAGTTTCTGATCAGATTTTTAAGTCTGGCTGAATCATATGGACCGTCAGTCTTATTAGAGCTGAAGGAGCGTCATTGCAGACAAAAGCCCTGTGTTAGGTTTTCATTTCCTTGAACTATAACTGAAGGATTTGGTTTTGAAATATTAACAATGTAAAAATGAATCTGGTTGATTGTTAAATATATGTTGTTGTTGTTTTTTTCCATGAGTCATCATTCTGTTCAAGAACAAGTCAGGTTTTGCTTCCCAGAAAATATATGCTGCATATCTTTCCAAAACCAAAAGTCTAAAGTCTTTGTGAAGAGGCTGGATGGAGCTGGTGAGTGACAGTCGCTGTCCACAGGGAAAGTTGCACCGACATGGGCTGAAATGCTACTCAGAGAAGAAGAAGACGAAAAAACATAAAAAACCTGATTATTTTCAACAAATTAATTTCCTGCCTGAAGTTAAATTTTGATCATTATTTTGGGAGGATGTAGGGGGAAGCATTAAGTTATCGGGACGTTCTGCTGCGGGAGGGACTGGTGCACTTAAAAACACTAAGCAAACTATTTTATGAAGCTTGTTGAAGGATATCGGCATGTTTGAATCAAGCTACATTGTTTAAGAGTTAATTCTACCAAGTGGTATGTGGGAAAGTAATAAAATTAACAGTCATTATTCTGCCATAAAGTCATTTGACATCATTTTAGTTTTCTCACCCGAACCTTGAACAGAAAATTTTCAGTCTTATTTAAATTCAGGAAGTGACATAGAAACGTTGAGTGTAGATTATGTAAATATCTTTACTCACATGACCTGAAACAGTTATGCAAGTAAATGAAAAAACATTTAAGTGTCTAAATTAAGCCCAAGCAGTGCTATGGACTTTCATAACGTCCACATTGCACTCCTATGTATGTGCCAAATGACGCGTCAATTGACGACTGAACCATAATATAACTTGATCTCGTATTGAGTTATGCACACACTCCATCTGCACTAATGAAGTTCGACTCAACTCCACATGCCAAATTCTGCCCTTTAATTTGACTAATTCATATTAAAATTACTTGACCACTTACATCCTGTGAAACAATCATTAAAACAAACATGCATGGCTTTAAACATGCACTTTACAAATTATGTTACATATTAGAAGCATTAAACAATTTATAGACAGAACATGACTTGACAAAATTTACATCTCTTTTTAAAATCATCTTTAACTCCGCTGTGATTTTCTGAGTGATGCTACATGCCAGATCAAACGCATCATGACTGAGGCAGGATAAAGGAGCAGAGAGCTAAGAGGGAAGAGCACTTCTCAGGTATTTAATGATTACATGTCTGCAGCCTCTGCATGACGGTGTTATCAGGCTGATAGCCGGCCCTGATGTGAGGTACGTTCAGCCATCAGGACGGATCCTCTGACTGTTTTCCCATGCAAGGAAAACATCCGTTTGTCGGGAAGCATGATTAGGCAAACGATGAATGAATAATTGTGATACTCCTGTATGTTGGTGCCTTGGGTCTGAAGGAAATGTCTCCGAGACGGGCCGTTCCTAGTTCAGGTGGACTGAGCCAGTGAAAAACTGTCCAAACAGTCAGGAATCACCATGCAGGCTGCCTGCAGCACTGAAATGGCATCGATGCTGCTCTAAGCAAACACATATTTTATTCAGTATTTGTGACAGTAGAAGATGCATTCCACAAAATGTGCGTTATGATGTAGAAAAAGGAATTGTGTTGTTAAAATGAAACCACTGAAATGGTTAACTTGATCATTACTAAATACTATGTATTTATATGTCAGATATGTGAATGGTTGTATAGATAAGCCCAGTGGCTTTCGTACAAAATGGGCGTTCAGCTGGAGTCATTAGCGATCCTGTTAGAGCAACGTGGCATTGCAATGTGTTTCTGCTATTGGCTTAGAGAGGCAGGCATGGCGAAGAGGAGCCAGACCAATTTAAACACTTTATAATGCTTTCAAATCTGAGCTGAAAGGAGATTTGGATCGTTTTGGATCATTTTCCCCGTATGAGACTCTTCACAGATTTTCTCTAGTTTTGCTTTTCTGTCAGTCAGACATTTTTTCAGATTATGAAGAAGTGGGTGAAAATCCCTCCGCTGCCATCTAAAACACTCGTTGGCAGTGAAGCTGCCTGTAGTGGCACAGCCAGTTGTTGGCTTTCGAACTTTTAATGTGGCGATAATTCATACGGCACACATCACTGACGCTTGTGCGAGTCATTATCCTTGGACTGTGATGCCTCTCCTGCTGGTCCCGTGAGGCCCAGCGATGACTTTGTTGCGTTCTCGTGTTGCAGAGGCCGTTTTGCTGAGTAAGCACATTGCTGCATATCGATGCGTCCCAACGCTCCTGACACCGAGCGGGCTGAATGTCAGTCAGGTTTCCTATCAGGTCACTGCTGTTTGTTTTTTTTTATGCTATGTTGAAAAAAAACCCCTTAAGATTCATCATATAATTCATCCAAATGAGGTGGATGTTAGTCTCATATGTTAGAATAAAACACTTGGAAACACCAGGAGGTCGAATGGATATGACCTGACACAACATGTTTGGAGATTATTTTTAGATGCGTTCATTGGAATGAAACCACACAATTTTTTTCCACTGCTTAAAATAAATAGAATGAACAACTTTGCAAATGCTTTTGTTTTTGGTGTTATTTACATAGGTAGTTATTCTGGTCGTGCAGAAT